AGAAGAAAGTACAAAAATATAAATAAATATCCACACATTTTGTGAAACATCTTAAGAATAGTTTCTTTGATATTTATATTTGAATAGTTTTAGGAAAAAATAATCGAAATTTACATGACCGAGAAACTTGAGAACAAAAAAATTTGACTACAGTGTATATTTTACTGACAATTCCCACAATCTTCTTCTAGAAGTTGTAAATTTATTCAAGAATCTAACAAGTAATATTGACATAATTGTTGAAAATTTTAAGAAAGAAAAGAATTGCGGTTTAATATTATAATATTATCGATGATTTGAGGCTTGCATTTTTGCAGCATCACCAAATAGATCGATGAGTTAATCGTTCTTAACATGAGGCATTTGCGAACGACAAAACAAATTATGCTATTTGAGTCTTCGTGGTCGAGGAAAAGAAGGTGTAGTGCCATCTCTTGGAAGACACACCTAACAGAAACCTTAGCTTGAAAGATACACTTGGGGATAAGCATTCGCGATCTTAATATCAAACATTGAGGACGATATCGTGCACACTACGCTCTAGTATCAAAGCGTGTACTTTACCAACTCGGCAAAACAACTTTCATTTCGTATAAGTTCTGTTTTTACTACAAAGATTGAAATAGCTTCGTGTTTTTGAAATAAAGAAAAGTTCGAAAGTTTTTTTCATTAAAATTTAGTTTAAATTCAACAAAATTAAAGAAGCTTAGAGGAAAAGTTGGCTTCTTAAAATAAAGATTTAGTTAAAATATTTTTTTTTTTTTTATAAATCAGTAATGTAGAATTTTGTGGAATTAATTAAATTCACTCGCGTGAATTAAGGTAGTGAACATATATTGATCGAACAAAATCAAGATAAGAGACACGGTAGTGTCTCGCGACCAGTTAAGGGCGTAGCCGAGACACCGTGTATCTTAACGCGAGTCGGACATTTGAGTCTTTATAATATTTCGAATTCTCAATAACGGCTGAAGCAATCGAGTTTATACTAGACTTAATCGATAGATTGAGTTTGAATTATATAATAAAAGTGTCTTATTTCTGCTCTACGTGATTTGTAAGCAGAGATATATAATTGCAAAGTCGAAATATGAAAAATTTCTTTTAAGAAACGTCCCCGTCATCATCATTATTATTATCATCATCGACCACGCAAACATAGTAGTATCGTGCTACACGTATTCACACGTATACAACACATGCGCACACATATATCACACGTACACAACACATGAATAGATGCATGTATTGGAAATGTCCATCTCGCACGTTTTACAACAGACGGCGATAGTTGCCCTCCGCTATATTGACAGCGTGCGGGGTTAGATATTTTCAATTTTCAATTTCAATTTTACATTCAATTTTAATGTTATTATTTGCAAATTTATTGTCATAATAATTTATGTGCAAGTTTACAGTCTGTGATACAAATCAGATATTTTGCTATTATTTCAATAATATTTCAATTATATAAATGCCTATGTATGAGTATGCATATATTTTTAATAATTTCTTAATTAGCTTCTATATTTTTTCAGTTGTACATCAAGCAGGTAGCATTATCAGCTCACTTGTGAGCATGGGTTGGGCAATGGCTAGTTATCATCGCAGCATTCGATTAGCTTAACAAGATAAATCTAATATCAGTGCTATAGGAACTATTTTACAATTTTTCTGGCATTTTCTTATTGCAGGTACATATATATCCAATAATTAATATACAAAATTAAATATTATTCATCACACACTTGTATCAAAATAATATATTTTTAAAATTTATTTAATCATTTTTATCATTGTGATTGTAGTGGCAAGGATCTTATTGCTCAGTGTCATTGCAAGCATCTGGCCTGTATATACCATAATATATTGCGTAATACATTGGCTAAGTATGACAATATAGATTTTGATAGATTCCCATGGAATATTGGAATTTGTCGGACTTACAGTCATCCACCACATATGCAGCCTACAATTAAAGAACGCATTTATTCCATATGATTGCTTCCGTTATTGGAATATTTAAAATAAAAATTTTATTAATAAATTCGATGAAATAATTTATAAGAGGTTGAAGAAAAACTATGAAACAAATTCAGTCTCATAAAAGGGTAGTTGGAACAATAGTGGTGAATGCAGAAGGTATTACATGAGATCATTGACATGATTTACTTGTAGTTGTAAACAAAAATTTATAAAATTATATCTGTTTTAGGTATTCCTATAAAGTCAACATTAGATAATACGACAACAGTTCAATACGCAGGTTTGATAAGTCAATTGTCAGATAAAGCTCGTTCTGTCGTACGTGACTTGAATCCAACAAATGATTTAACTTTCTTGCGCATACGTAGCAAAAAACATAAAATTATGATGGCACCAGATAAAGAATTCATATTAATAGTAGTACAAAATCCAGTTGATTGATATTTAAAAGAAACAAAAATATATTTCAAAGTTAAGATTTATTTCTTTGGTTGTTAATTTAATCTGTATGCTACATTGTGGATGTTAATATCTCAATTCAATAAAATAAAGAAAAATAAAAGAATAAAGCTTAAAAATTATACAAAATGCAGTATTTAATTACTAATTTACAAATTATGAACTTTTAGAGTTTTAAATAGTGCTTTCTTCTTTGGTAACAATATTATATTTTTAAGTTTGATAATTATGAAAATATGTATATATAGTAATTCATGGCATGTTTATTTTTGTATTTAATACAATTATAAATGTACATTTCTCATCAATAAAATATCACAGTATCTTTTTATATTTAATTTAATATTGAGATTGTTTTTATTCAGTGGAAAAAAAAATGTGAGTTGGTCCCTATAATATTATACATTATAGAGTGTCGCACAAATAATTCTATGCAGTCTTTTTAAGATAATATAAAAATACTTATAAATATAATCAATAAAATCATATAATCAAAATTGTATGTATTAAAATTCAATAGCATATAAAAAAGATTTTTTGAAATTATATATATATAATAAAAATCCAACATATATATATAATATATAATATATATATAATTTATTTATTGTATATCATAAATATATTTATTTATTTATTTACCTATCTTTTTTTTATATATATGGTAGAATAGAAATACAATGTGAGTTATTTTATTTTGCAAAATTTTTGAAAGTTAAACTATACAATGAAATTATTTCATATAATACCGAGATTCTTTCATAATAAAGATTAAGAGAGAGTTAGATTTTATCATAAGATTTATAAAAGTCATAAGATAAGGTTAATTGCATATTGTATCATTTATCTCTCATTTTTTAAAGTAAATAAATATCAAAGTTACATTGCTTGAAATGGTGCGTTTGAAGTATGTTGTCTTTTTGAGGGATGCAAGACAATATAGTACAAAAGCATTGCTGTAATTCCCAAGAAAAGGAAATGATACAAATAATAAAGATTATATTAAAGTACTAAGCCTCTTTAACTGCAGGAGGACAAGCATATTGCCATAATAAATTTGCTGCAATATTTTCAAAAAAGCAGATAACATAGAAAGATAGATGTTTTCAAAATTTTGCTATCTACAGCATTGAGATATATAAAAATGTGCACTATGCCAATACGGAAGCAAATAATATGGAATAAATGCGTTCTTTAATTGTAGGCTGATATGTGTGGATGACTGCAAGTCCGACAAAATTCCAATATTCCATGGGAATCTATCAAAAATCCATATTGTCATACTTAGCCAATGTATTACACAATATATTATGGTATATACAGGCCAGATGCTTGCAATGACACTGAGCAATAAAATCCTTGCCACTACAATCACAATGATAAAAATGATTAAATAAATTTAAAATAAATTTTAAAATATATTATTTTGATACAAATTGTGTGATGAATAATATTTAATTTTGTATATTAATTATTGGATATATATGTACCTAAAATAAGAAAATGCCAGAAAAAATTGAATTTGCTTATTTATTTAAAGATGCTTATCATATACAAAAATGAATGATA